TATCTTATTGCCCTAATACATACCAAACAACAGTTGTACTGACATTATCAACTTGTAAAGTTCAACAAACATCAACACTCTCCAGCCGAACACAAGATATTGCTACAACTTCTGGCTCTAACAGAAAGTTCTGTATTAAACACACCATCGTTTATCCCAGAAACCACATGTTGACATTCCCGCCATGTTGTATTGTTGTCAGCCATGATGGAATTGTTTAAGTGATGCAGCAATGTCCGAGTCACGTATCAACATGGTGAAGACATTGTAGATGTGTGACACAGATGTCTGATGTTTACTTTGTGTTGTAGCGACTCCATCACCAGCAGCAGGCCGCCGCGTCTACTCCGCCAGCAAGGACGGTGACCTGGAGACAGTGAAGCTGATCCTGTCAGCAGGTCACGTGGACATCAACACGAGAGGAGGAGACTACAGCGCGACACCGGTGATGGCGGCAGCATGGAACAGACACAGCGATGTGGTGGAGTTCCTGGTGGGTAGAGGAGCTGATGTGTCACTGGTCGACAGGGACGGTGACAACGTCCTTCACTACGCCTGTATGGGTGGAGACCTGGAGACGGTGAAGCTGATCGTGTCCCTGAACGTGGTGGACGTCAACAGTAGAGGATGGTACAGCAGGACACTGGTGTTGAGGGCATCATGGTGGGGACACAGCGATGTGGTGGAGTTCCTGGTGGGTAGAGGGGCTGATGTGTCGCTAGTGGACAGTGACGGTAACAACGTCCTTCACTGCGCCTGTGCTGGTGGAGACCTGGAGACGGTGAAGCTGATCGTGTCCTGGAACCTGGTGGACATCAACGCCAGGAACAACAACGGGCGGACAGCGGTCGGCTGGGCGAAACACAAGGGACATCAGCGAGTGGTGGAGTTCCTGGAGTCACGTGGTGGACACTGAAGTCGGTGTCGGTGTGGACGGAGACGGGGCACATGTCGCTACTGACACTGACGTGGTGTGTGCCGTCCACGTTGTCTTGGGTCACGATTCACGTGATTTCCTTTTACTTTGTGAATATAAATATAACTTGTTGAAAGTATTTTCAGACATTTTGTCATTTGTTGTGTTTGTAGCCTCGCAGGATCAGGTAAGAAAATTGTGAAGTGAGTGTAAATATAAACGGTGAGTGATTGTATGTAAACGTCGCCCGCCTTAACATTATTCTGTGTTAATTTTGTTCTGAGAATATCGCAAATTGTGAAACCGACAAGAACAAACTGTTTGTTTACATGTCGCTGCACTCTGTGACATCAGACTGAGCCGCGGTTGACCCAGTGACATGGCGCCATTTGTACAGTGACAGTGACGTCACACTGCTGGTGACGTCACAGATATACACTGAGGTGCACGGCGTCTTCTCGGCCAGATAGGACAGAGAGCGGCGCAATGCTGGCATCGTGCCATACAGCACAAACAGTATCTGTCAAATACCATGTGTTGGGTATCGTTTAACAAGGGAAGGATGGACATCTGTAGCTGATTACTACTGAGATTTAACCTTGTTGGTGCCACAGGGAAATGTACCCTTTCTGTAGTGACAAAACACACAATATACAAAATCAAACACATGACAATCATCACCCACAACATCTCATATTTGTTAACCCTGGATGCCGGAATGACAAACACTTCCCCCTCTTCTCTGTTTCCTGATCTAACATATTGTTTTTTAGGTAAAGTACAATTGCTGAAATGACCAGTAAGAATTATGTACATGGTAAATCTCGCCATTTTTGGACACATGAAAAGTTCGCCATTCGCGGCACCGTTTACTGTATGTTGTAAAGGTAAATATATGATATTAACCCGTTGAACTGAATTTGAAAAATAGCCAGTTAGTGATTAGTGGTATGTGTTTTTTATCAAGTCGCCAATGACTATACTGAAACCCCGCCTATAACCCTGGAATCGTTTGGACCGTCTCGGGAGCAGGCAAACACACACGCCGAAGTGAGCTCTCCGTTATGTTTGATAGTTTTTACTGAAGCATGTTTCACGTAAGCTGGTCATGAGACGCCAATTACATCACTTAGGGGATAACTGTACTGTGTTTGACGAATTGGGGACGTATACCGGTGGTTATATAGCCGCAAATTTAGTTATATCGGCGACGCGCAAGCGGAACCGATATAGCGTTAAATTTGCGGCTATATAACCACCGGTATACGTCCCCAATTCGTCAAACACAGCTACAAAGTTATCCCCGATAATTCAACTCGTTTTACGCTGTTTTTCGTGAAAGAAATTCATTATTTAAACCAGGTCAAAGTTCCTCTAGGTCAAAGGTTAATCATATCACTCCTTGAACTTACACCATCGCCAGAAAAAGTAGTTCCCTTTTCAAACTACACACGTTTATCATGTGCACACAGACTAAATCTGACAATGAAGAATAGATCATAGTATTATAGATAAAATGGAAGGAATCATGATGAAACCGCCCTCTAGTTACAGAAACGAGCCGCCCGCTGATTCCTTAACTACGGGCCATTATCAGTTCTGTTGTCAAATGACGTCATAGCAGGTGACGTCACGCTCCATAATAACGTCATAATCTTGTTTCATGATCTAACAGTGTTGGGTCAACAGCCCGTTGCGAGTAAGTTGTTTGAACTTAAAATTAAATTTATGATACTATTTTGTCGTTTTTAACACAATATCCACCCATTTTAGCTGGATAGGGCAGTTAATTGACCTATGGCTTCTGCAAATGACAATGTCCTGCAAAGCAGCGTTATCCCAAAAGTGTAGGGATACATTTAAAGGTTTTGGTGAAGCGGTTTTCAAATTGCGACCGTATATGCTGATTATACGGTCGGATATTTATAGCATTGACCAATCAGAACTCGTGTTACATACTAAGTTGAATTAGAATGTGGCTTGACATAACTGACACACGCATAGAGACGAGGGGCGTAACTCCGCTAGGCTTTACACGATGTCATTGTAACTCAGGTCACTTGGAGAGAGTTCACTGTTGAGAAGGACACTTTATTTTCGTGAGGTTTCGTTCACGATGAACCAGACTATTCCAATACACACTGTAACCGGATACGTTTTGGTAGTATCAGAAATTACAAGAAATGTTGAAAGCGCACAACATGTGAAATCATTACCTCGTGGTTTGTTTTATAGATTTGTTTGCGACGTCGGAAAATAGGACAGTTGTATGTCCATTAGTTAATATATGTACCTCACATAATGTACGTAGATTCTATAGAGACTTCGGTTTGGCAGCCGTGCTTTCCACAGAACATGAAATGAATTACTTACAATTTAAATAAATGTCCTGAATAGTTGATTGTGTATTTTGATTTACCGTAAATGATACAATAGTTCCAAACATATGAGCATATTTTCAGGACAGGAGTTTCCTCTGTTCATAATGGTGTTGCTATTTCTCTACAAAAGTAAACAATTAAAGATGAAGAAATAGACCCTTTTGTATGGGACTGTCAGAATAATTATGTGAGGTTTGTTCCAAGGAATATTGACTATTGCACACCTTATGCACAAAGCACGTGTTGCAGTTATGCCTACATTTCATCTAACACTTGTGTACAGGTTACAAATTTTAATATTATTATGGTGTACTACACTAACTGTGTCACTTTCGTCTTTAAATATTGTTCAAACAAGCAAACACTTGCAAAGGATAAAAACACGTATAGCCTATATCCATGTATGATATGATACTGAATAAGCCTAAATGTAATCATTTTTTATATGGTGAGTGAGTGAGTGAGTTTAGTTTTACGCCGCACTCAGCAATATTCCAGCTATATGGCGGCGGTCTGTAAATAATCGAGTCTGGACCAGACAATCCAGTGATCAACAGCATGAGCATCGATCTGCGCAATTGGGAACCGATGACATGTGTCAACCAAGTCAGCGAAACTGACCACCCGATCCCGTTAGTCGCCTCTTACGACAAGATAGTCGCCTTTTTATGGCAAGCACATGGGTTGCTGAAGAACTATTCTACCCCGGATCTTCACGGGTCTTTTTTATATGGTGACGGAGTAAGTATATACTAGAATATAGAGGTTGACATCCATAAACCTCTCTTCCTTATGTGCATCACTTCTGACTGGCCTGAAGGCTAAATGTAGATAATGAAATAACCTTCGTGAAAAAAAAGTATCTAAAAGATATATACATTATCAAACGCTAAGTTGCTTGACGGTGTGACTGTGTTTACCGACATTTATCTCAAACAAATTGCTCAACATGTACAAAAATTTTGACATACGACATCACTACCAATAGCAGATTTATTTTATATAACACTGACATCGGCACGCAGGGGGCTTCCCTGTCCTGCCTTTAGAATCCCTCACCAAATAAGCGCACGTGAAATCAAACATATTTGTATCTTTTTCTTTCAAAATATTGTTGCAATTCACGACCTGTCCCCATGCTTAACTGTGACGTTGCAATATTGTTGCACTAATGTATAACACTCGTCGTACGAGCCAAATGTTGCTATTATATGGGTTTGTAAGGCTTCAGTGCAGTGTTGTTATCACTTACGGAAATTAACAGAATATTTTTATGCTGTCATTTTTAATTTTGAAGAATTCTGTCATTTTCAATTCTGAAGGGGTTTTTAGGTGGCCTTGGTTCCGTTTAAAAGGAGCCAAATAAATTTTAAATTACTGTGGGTGGGAAAGAGTTTTTTGTGTGTGTATCTCTGTCTTTTCCTCCTTGCTGGTTATGTTGTTCAACCAAGCACTACACGCATGTCAATAGAAGTATATTATATGAATCCCTCATCAAAAACATGCGTGTCGGGTGTTAGGTGAAAACCAACCGTGCGTTATCTAAACGGCAGTAGGATTTCAGCAATCAAGAATGAGGATTGGACCAGGTAACATTGATTAATTGGAGAATCTCTGCTGGCTAGTGGTACTACATAAAAATCATGTGTCTAGGCTCTCAACACCACCGAACACCCACTGGCCTTCGACAACATGACATTTATGCAGTCAGGCGCGTAGCAAGCCATTTTTTTCCTGTAAGCCCGATAGGTATCAGGGCTTTATATTTAGATGGTATTTAGGACTTGTCCAACCTTTTTAGCAACAATCATGTATAAGCCCGGGCCTTTTTTATAATGGTAGCTGCCCCCCTGGCAGTGTATGAAATAAGCCAAGAACCCACCCACACATCAGGGCTGTTAACTTTTAAAATGTTACCAGCCCAAAATGGATTTAACCAGACCAGACAACGTTTTACTGGAACATTATTTTAACGTTTTGACCAGACCATAGGGCTGGCTAGCTGTAACTTTAGACCGTCCGTCAGAAATCTAGCCCATCTCGGGTTGTCGGACGGGCCTTATTCCATTCACTGATTTAGGCAATTTTTAGTTACCAAACTTTCCCCAACAATGATACCTGGCCCTCCTATCTCTGAAAGAAACATTTTCAAAAGTTTACTAATGAAAGAGGCTGTGAGTGACATTTGACGTCACTTCAGGTTAAAGGCACAGGCTCACGTGCCTTTGCGAGGATTAATGATGTTTAATAAAACATTTGAGTGAGTGAGTTAAAATTTATCGTCACATCGGCAATATTTCAGCAATATCTTGACGAGAACAATTAATTGGTACACATACGAAGTAATAGTAAATTATAAAAGCCTGCCTACGAAGGACAGTAAAATAACTAGATTATCACAAAGAATAATTTAAAAACTAGTAATTATATCTAAAACAGTTTAACTATAGTTGACAATACAATATAAAACCGGGCTATAGATTGCTAACAACTGAAGGTAGATCACCATACTAGGGACCATGGGGACTTACAGTACTTTTGCTTCCTGCATGGACCCTAGCTGGATTTACACCATCCCTCAGCTATTAGCAATTTTAGATATTCAAGCCACAAATTAAAAGAACATATATTCTACGATTAAAAATAACAGTAGATTTAAATTTACATTGAATGCTTTGGGACTGACGTACCCTCTCAGGAGGACAATAATTTTACAATACTTCAACCCCCTTTGAGGGCACAGCCACTAACAATCTCAGTTATTAATCTAAACTACCAACAATAAAATATTTAACTATTTACAGATCAGTATGCTAACAACTGAAGGTAGATCACCATACTAGGGACCATGGGGACTTACAGTACTTTTGCTTCCTGCATGGACCCTAGCTGGATTTACACCATCCCTCAGCTATTAGCAATTTTAGATATTCAAGCCACAAATTAAAAGAACATATATTCTACGATTAAAAATAACAGTAGATTTAAATTTACATTGAATGCTTTGGGACTGACGTACCCTCTCAGGAGGACAATAATTTTACAATACTTCAACCCCCTTTGAGGGCACAGCCACTAACAATCTCAGTTATTAATCTAAACTACCAACAATAAAATATTTAACTATTTACAGATCAGTATGCAAATCTAATTCTTTTAAAAATTCAACTATTAAATGATAATTAACATTATAAAAAAGATCCTTCAAAGTTTTGACATTGAAATACTTATCCCTTGTGATGGAATATTCAACACAGTCAAGCAGGACATGCTTGACCGTGATTCTTTCATCACAAGGGATGCAAAACGGAGGATCTTCGCCTTTCAGTAAATACTGGTGAGTATATCTAGTGTGGCCAATGCGACATCGTCGCATAATGACCTCTTCAAATCTGGACTGACAACCCAAGTAGGTGTAACCAATGTAGGGTTTTATTGCATGTAATTTATTAATACCTACTTGGGTGTCCCACTTCTTTTGCATTAGATCGCGGATGTATGTTCTAATGCTGGCTTTATAATCAGAGTATGGGATAAGAAGTGGTGTCACAGATTTATTGAGTGCTGCCTTGGCAGCAAAATCGGCCATTGTATTCCCAGAAATGCCAACGTGGCTGGGTAACCAACAGAAGACGATGTCGCATTGGCCAGTAGCAAGATCATTATATAATTCGATTATATCAATTAAAAGTGGATGTTTGCAAGAGAGATTTTTCATAGCCTGAAGACAAGAAAGAGAGTCAGAAAATATTATATATTGTTTATGTTTGGGATGTCTTTGAATATATTTAAGAGCCGTTAATATGGCGTTGCTTCTGCTGTAAATATAGAGCTGTTATCAGGTATTCTAGAAGATATTGTTCGGGATCCCAATGACAGTGGCACATGCCACTGCGCCACCGTCCTTGGACCCGTCTGTAAATAAGGATTTGTATGTATTATATTTGATTTTTAATTGACTAAATTCTTGTTTATACTGTAATTCATTTGTTTCTGATTTTTTAAATGTAGTTAATGTTAGGTCAACTTGTGGCCTAACCAATTGCCAAGGCGGAGAAGAAAGAAAACGGGAAGGAGCTATATGTTCTAGCTCAATGCCAGCAGAAGAAAGGAAAGGTTTCACTCTTATACCAAGAGGCGGAACAAGAGAAGGCTTCTTGTTATACAGATCTTCATATAGTGGATTAAAGACACAGTTATATGCAGGGTTTGACTCATTGGAATAAAGTTTTGTAATATACTGTAAAGTTAATTTTATACGGCGGTGTGTAAGAGATGGCTCATCAGCCTCGACGTAGAGATGGTCAACAGGAGAAGTTCGAAAGGATCCAAGACAAAGTCTCAGACCTTGGTGGTGGACAGAATCAAGTAGATTTAGGTTGCTTTTGCAGGCTCCACCATATACGATGGAGCCATAATCAAGTTTCGAGCGGACCAATGAGCGATATAGGTGGAGGAGGGTAGTTTGATCCCCTCCCCACTTTGAGTTGGAAACAACTTTCAACAAGTCAAGTGCCTTCAGGCATTTAGTTTTAAGGGATTTAATATGCGGAAGAAAGGTTAAATGGGAGTCAAAAATTAAACCCAAGAACTTGGCAGCCTTCACAACTTTGATGGGTGTGCCATTTAAAGATAGTTCAGGGTCTTTATGTGGTTTGTATTTACGGCAGAAATGAATACAATTAGTTTTGGATTTAGAGAATTTAAATCCGTTTTCAAGACACCATTTATCTATTTTGTTTAAAAACAACTGCAGTTGCCGTTCAATAGTATGCATATTTTTCCCACGACAAGAAATATTAAAATCATCCACAAATAATGATCCATCGATTGAATCAGTTAAAACCTTGGATAAACTGTTGATCTTAATACTAAACAGGGTGACAGACAAAATACTGCCTTGCGGGACACCCTGATCCTGATTATAATGATCAGACAGGGTTGAACCCACTCGGACTTGAAATTGTCTATCATTTAAAAAGTTCGTTATAAATTGAGGCAAACGGCCTCGTAATCCAAAATCATGTAAATCTCTTAATTGGCATATTTCCACGTAGTGTCATATGCTTTTTCTAGATCAAAAAAGATAGACACAGCGTGTTGTTTATTAATTAGAGCGTTTTTAACAAATGATTCTAAACGCACTAAGTGATCGACAGTACTTCTGTTTTTACGGAAACCACATTGTATATCTGTTATAAGGTTATTAGTTTCCAAGTACCAAACAAGTCGATTATTTATCATGCGTTCCATAGTTTTGTAAACACAGCTAGTTAGTGAAATAGGTCTATAATTGGACGGATCTGTATGATCACGTCCAGGTTTAGGTATTGGTACTACTATGGCGTCACGCCATGAGGGAGGAAAGTTACGTGATGTCCAAATATCATCAAAAATATTTAAAAGAGTTTCTAGACAGGATTCTGGTAAGTGCTTCAGGAGTTGATAATGTATGTTATCAGCTCCTGTAGCAGTATCGTGAGCTTGATCAAGGGCAGTATGGAGCTCGTGAACGGAAAATAGTTCATTTTAATCTTCCCCAGTATCTGAATTGAAATTAATAGGTTTCTTTTCTTGTTGGTGTTGATATTGTTGGAATTTAGGCACATAATTAGAAGAGGAAGAGTGTTTAGCGAGAGTTTCGCCCAGTTTATTTGCAATATCTGATTTATCGGTAAGTAATTGATCTCCTTCTTTGAGATGATGGACACTAGATTTAGTACCTTTACCTTTAATTTTCTGTACCATGTTCCATACTTTGGACATGGGAGTTCGAGAAATTAGTTTTGATACATAATTTTGCCAAGATTGGTGTTTATACTGTTTAAAGGTACGCCGCGCATTAGCATTTACAATTTAAAATTTATTTAAATTCTGCACCTTAGGGTGGCGACGGAAATAATGTTCTGCTTTTTTCCGTGCCTTCCGAGCTTGTTTGCACTCATTATTAAACCATGGTTTTCGAATGTGTGGAATTGCAGAGGACTTTGGAATACACTCGTCAGCTATGGTATTCAGTTCATCAGAAAAACATTTTATAGCATCAGGAACATCAATAAAACGTTCAGGTTTAAGTTTGACAACACACAAGGTTTCATATAAAGGCCAGTTAGCCTTTTTAAAATGCCATCGTGAAGTTGGAGGAACATCAGTTGGGGTTACACGTTTCAGTATAGTAGGAAAATGGTCACTTCCACAAAGGTCATCGTGGACTGACCATTCAAATTCATTTAGTAAGTTGGAGTCAGTTATTGACAGATCAAGGGCTGAATATGTTCCTGTACCAGGATGTAAATATGTATCTGTACCATCATTGTATATACATAAATTATTATTTGAAATAAAATCCTCTAGAATTTTACCTTTAGTGTTTATGGCTGCACTCCCCCCAGAGTGGATTGTGGCCATTCAAATCACCCATGAGTACACATGGTTTGGGAAGTTGATCATAGAGTGTTTGAAGATCAGCCAGCAGAAGAGTTGATGATGGCGGAATGTACAATGAACACAGAGTAAGTGTAACGTTCAAGGTAAGTCGCACTGCAACTGCTTGGAGATTTGTTTTGAGTGTCACAGGACTGTGGATAGTGTCATGTCTTACAAGAATGGATGATCCTCCAGTGGCCCTATCACCTGCAGGAGAATAATGATGATAGGCGTTGAACTGACGAAAGTTTAAAGAATCTCTCTGCTTCAGATACGTTTCTTGTAAGCAGATCGCTGACGGTTGGAAATCCTGGTCTAATAGATGTAGTTCATTTAGATTAGTTTTAAGACCCCTACAATTCCACTGTATAATGTTTGATGAAACTATTTCTTCGGGGGGGTTTATTGGGGATCTACCCCTTGCCTTTCTAGAGGGCGACTGACTATGTGCCCTATGTTGGATGATGTCAGAAACATCCATGGCTTCAAGAGATCCGAACTTATTGTATAATTGGATCTTATCTTCTGACCCTTTTGAGGCTTTGCCACTTTGATATTTCTGAAAAGATTCTTTGTTTGGTTTGACCTTATTTTTTGACACGTGCTTCTCATAATTTCCAGTGGGAAGTTTTGGATTCGACTGTGATGATGATTTATCCTTCGAAGTTGACCGAGAGTGAACTGCAACTGTGACTGGTGTTGCAAATAGTGATTCAACAGTTTGCGTTGACTGGTGAGGTGAATATACCTCAGGTGTAACCGTGTCAACCCATGTCAAATCAGTTTGACATGATGTGGATGAAGTGGATATAGTTGCAGCTACTGTTTGATTCATTCCAGTGGATGCTGTAGTAACTGAGGCATATGACTCATTTCGTTCTGAGGTCTGAACGACAAGTTTTCTTGGCATCAGCAAAACTAATATTTCTTGTGAATTTAATTTTATTTATCTGCATTTGTTGTTTCCATTGTGGACAGTCTTTGGAAAAGGATGAATGAGTGCCAGAGCAGTTTGTGCATTTTTTAAAGTTACTATCACAGTCTTCAGTTACATGAGATTTTTCACCGCAGTGAGCGCATGTTATAGAATTTGTGCAGCTATTGACACCATGTCCATACTTTTGACACTTAAAACATCTCAGTGGGTTTGGAATATAAATGTCAACTCTGATATTACAATATCCTGCTTTAATTGACGTTGGAACAGTTGGAGAAGAAAAATAAAATAAGTAGGTATTTGTAGGTCTACTTTCAGAATTTTTCCGGGTTGTGAATCGTTTCACAAAAGTCACTCCTTGGTCCTTCATTTCTGAGACGATGTCCAGTTCACTCATGTCAGCAAACAGTTGGTCCCTGTCTCTTACGATTCCTTTACTTGAGTTCAAAGTTCTATGTGGAGAAACCGAAACTGGTATTCCAACGAACAACTCAGTTGACATCAGATTTGATGATTGCTGTTGTCTACTACATTCTATGAGCAGAGATCCTGTGCGCAATCGATTTATATAACGGACGTCACCTGCAATACCATGTACACCTTTTGATACTGCAAAAGGATTGAGTCTAAAGGTGATTTGTCAAGTGTCTCCATAACTAGAAATCGTGGCCTATATTCGTTTGAGTTTGAAGGTCGTTGGTCGTCATCATCACTGTCCAATTGACGCTTGTTACGTTTTAGGGGGGGGGGTTGTATTCCATAGTAAGTGTTAAAGTTTCATCATCCGAGCTCCCCACCCACCACGGAGTATCACAAGGACAATGCTAAAAACAAGTGGGTCTCCATCTTGCAGCACCAAGGATACTCGGATGATATACGCCAGCAGAAGAGTTGTAAATAACTAATCCACCAGATTGGCCCATGAGCCACCGCCTTCTGGGCATAAGACTCTAGGCAAAGTTCATAACATCATAGTTCAAAATCACAAAAGTTTTAGATGAACACTTAGGCCAAGTCCGAAATTAAAATAATTCCAAATCAGATTTGTGCAATGACATACAGAGATATATAGTCCATACACAGGGCTTGGCGTGACCAGCCGATTGATAGAACCCGGGCCAGTTCTACCACCCGTCTAGGTGAAGTAAGGGGCGAAGTGGTGTGTTGGGCAAAGGAACACTGTTCCTGGAACCAGTGCCCTCAACCACCAGCCTCCCGTCCTCCACCGACACAGGGGCGCAACCCACGGCAAACGGGTTGGTGGACCAAATATCCCCCCGGGTCCACAACGGGGGGTTGAAGGGCGCTTAGCGTTACCCAGCACCCACCACGAGGAGGTGGCCCTTCATGGGTGCCATAAAACATTTGAGATGACCCCCGACTCGAAATGCTTCACAATACATTATGACATGTATTGTACTGTGTAGCATTTCGAGTTGGGGGGTTATCTCAAAAACTAATTTTGTTAATCTTTAATCTTCCTCGCAAAGACACGAGGGCCTAGGCCCTGAAGGTGAGAAAGTGTGAAAACTGTATGTTTCTGTGTTTACATGTCAACCAGGCGTAGTCTTACGAGCAAAATGTTCGTTTTCACCAGATATATTTAGTTTGATATCATCTGGACACTTGATATTGATGACAAAGACCATTTGTTATTTTATTCTAAAATGTATGAGAAATTCAGTTATGTATTTGTTGCAGATGAATGTGAAATATACGTGACGTTATTGTGGTCTCATGACCGGGCCTTGTGAAACGTGATTATGTAAATACATGTACTATCCAATATGTCGGAAAGCTCACTTCGGCGTTTGTGTTTCTCTATTTTCCACACTATCCAATTCTAGGTATATTCCGATTAATGATCCGATTTTTACGTTTGTCAACATGCAGAAAACAACTCCTCCAATCGCGGTGTCGTAGCCTTTCACAAATGGCGACATTTACGATTTACGTAATGTTGCCACAGCCGATAGTGGATGGTGTCAAGACACAGACGATAGTGGATGGTGCCAAGACACAGACGATAGTGGATGGTGTCAAGACACAGACGATAGTGGATGGTGTCAAGACACAGACGATAGTGGATGGTGTCAAGGCACAGACGATAGTGGATGGTGTCAAGGCACAGACGATAGTGGATGGTGTGAAGACACAGACGATAGTGGATGGTGTGAAGACACAGTCGATAGTGGAAGGTGTGAAGACACAGACGATAGTGGATGGTGTCAAGACACAGACGATAGTGGATGGTGTCAAGACACAGACGATAGTGGATGGTGTCAAGACAGACGATAGTGGATGGTGTCAAGACACACGATAGTGGATGGTGTCAAGACACAGACGATAGTGGATGGTGTCAAGACACAGTCGATAGTGGATGGTGTGAAGACAGACGATAGTGGATGGTGTGAAGACACAGACGATAGTGGATGATGTCAAGACACAGACGATAGTGGATGGTGTCAAGACACAGACGATAGTGGATGGTGACACAGGAAGTTTCGGTTAAATGAAAACATAAAAACAAATAACAATACACGGATTGGCAAAGTGTTTATTGACATTCACATTCACATTCACTTTCACATATATATACTCATGCCAATAATGGTTGTCACCCCCTTCAATTTTATTAATTGGAGAGGGTGTGTGGGGTGTGTGTGTGTGTTGGGTAGGGGTGGGGAGGAGGGTGACAACCATTATTGGCATGAGTATATATGTAAATCTGAATATGTAGATCTTTGGAAAAAAAAATTATCTTTTATTTAATGTAGAAGAATTGCACCCTTGTTTACAGTGAAAACTTGTTCTTTAGGTTTCTAGATCAACATAGTATTGATCCCAATAACTCGCCTGGTGCACGTTGGTATTAAACGTTTTATACGATTTTCAGGTTCCATGCTGTATTACCTAATCCGTATTACTCTGCAAAAAAATTGAAACGCCAAAGAAAAAGAGTTGAAGATATCTGACAATGTTTTTGGTGATTTCATGCAAAATGACGAGCAAATGTTATTGAGTGTTCTAGTATAACGGATTGATAATAGCTCTAAACTTAATTCAACACCGAACGCGTTAGTGGCCTCTCCTTTAAATCCCCAGTGGTGTCGCCCCAAATCAGGTGATAGGTGGTTAAACCGTCAATAGCTAACAAACACCGAATTCAGTGATGACTAACAACCTTTGGTTTATTCACTGCATTAATCGCCCATGAAAAAGTTTATATAAATTGAAAAACATTTGTCAGAGGTTTTCAAAAGGCCTGATGGACATCTTGTCGTAAACGGCGGACCCGTGGAGACCCGGGTTAGAATTGGTCTTCAGTAACCCATGCTTGTCGTTAAAAGCGGACCCGTGAAGACCCGGGTTAGAATTGGTCTTCAGTAACCCATGCTTGTCGTTAAAGGCGGATCCGTGAAGACCCGGGTTAGAATAAGCCATTTTCCAGTTTTGCCGTTTAGAGTTATCTGCCCACTGTGACACGTGACCGCGGGCATGACAACACGTAAACAAGGTTGACGTGCCGTTTCTTTTGTCTACAGACGATATTGTTTACTTTTGGTCTACGATCACTATTTGAAGAAAATATCAAGTATGTTCCTATCCAAGACTGTTCCACAGTTGAAGATGTATTTGAAAGACCGTGGTGTGACATTTACAGGCTACATTCGTCGCGAATTGATCACCTTGTGCGAGTGTGTTGCCAGCTTGGATTTGCCCGTCTTCCAGGATGTTTCCGATATAAGCTGCACACCCCAAACACTCTCACACCTGAACATTAACTGTGACCCATTCCTGTTACAAGGCTACTCAAACAATTTGTCACAATGTCTGGAAATTGGAATATATGACGTATTTAATTACTTGGTGTCGTTCAGGCCCGATTATGACAGAAGGAAGCTTCGCGCCTACAAGTCTTTTCAAGACTATCGCTTGTTTGCTGATGGGCATGTCAACAGTGTGGAGTATGCTGATGCTACTGACACAATTGGCATTTTTAAAGCGTCTGTGAAGCCAACACAACGGGACAAGACCTACCTAAAGTCCGAGTTCTACAACCCATGGATTGCTGTGGAAAAAAATAATGTTGACATTAAGAGCGCTTACTGTCAGTGTCCAGGAGGGTAAGTGAGCTAGCTGGCATTATACATTGAAAAGGTCTAAAGCTCGTAATGATGCTTGAATTAAAGAGAAACAACCAGTTCCAAACTCCATAATGTTTCAGTGGATGTTAACCAATATTTATACATTTCTAATATTCATGTAGACCTATTCATAATACTGTGAAAGCAGTTATTGATGTTGCTCATGCATAATGTTACATTACATGTACAATGTTTGTTATAATAACCCTTTGTCTTGAAACAATAATAGTGTACATGTATTTTTCACATATTTCAGATCTGATGGAGCCTGCAGACATATAGCAGCAACACTTTTTGACATTGAAGCTTTTGAGAAAAAGAGCGTCACTGATGGCCCATCCCTATGGACCAAGCGACCAAGCAGTCACGATGAGCCTGTGCCACTGGGTCACCTAAAAGTCAAGAAAATCAGGTACAAAAAGAAAAACAAGGAAATGTGGGAAATTTCAGTACACTAGTCAGCAAAAAGTTAATATTCTACATTAAAATCTGGTCTTAAATAAATCACAAACAACATGAAATAGATGGGAGATATTTTTATTTTGCTGTACAGATGACCCATCTAAAATGTGTTGCAGCTATGGACAAACACTTGCAGACACGAACAGTGACCTTGGACAGGAGAATTTTGATCCTCGACCAATAAGTGACCGAGCAAATCCATCACTTGAACAGCTGGCCGATTTTGCAGCCTCCCTGCACCAGGTCGGAATGAGTTGAATATTCCCTATTTCAGTTCATAACATACAACAGTCATTATGTACCGGTAGTTAAAGCAGGAAAATGTTAAGTATTCATATAAACGTTTTTGGAACAGGTGTTTTCAATGCAGATTGTTTTACTTTCAAACATTCATAGAAGCAATGAATATCTATCTGTAAAACAATGACACTTCCAACTTTCAGCTTGGTATCATGACAGAAATGGACAACTTCCAATGCTTAGAGCCAGTTGTAACCCAAATGAATGATATCATTTTGCAGAGAACTTATTAACATGTTTCATAATTGCAGATAAATCCGAATGCTTGTGCCTTGGAGAGCCTCCTTGATCCCACTGACACAGAGACTCAAGCAACAAAAATTAATGAGGAATGTGCTGCCATGTCCATAGTCAACAAACTACAGGCCCTTGACTTGAGTCCAGATACTGACATATCTCAGGATGCAATCAATAGACTCAGATACTGTACTGATGACATTACTTACATTGAACATGAAACCACAGGACAGAGTGAGAATCCTACATGGTCAGTTATGAGAAAAGGCATGGTGACCACTTCCAATTTTAAACGTGTTTGCACCAGGGCAGACTCTTTTGAAAAAAACAATAACATTGATTGTTCAAATTTAGTGAAATGTTTGCTACATGACAGTCGTAGCATTGACAATAGCAATGTACCATCTTCTATTGTGTGGGGTAGAAAGAAAGAAAGCAAGGCCAAAGAAATGTATAAACAGATTGAAAGAAGGAGACATAAAAAATTATCAGTGAAAATCAAAGGTTTATTGATTGATAAAGAAAATCCTTTCCTTGGTACTTCAGTGGATGGTACAGTTGAATGTCAATGCAAAGAAAATCATCAAAACAAATTATTAGAAATTAAATGTCCATGGGCTTTGAGAGACTGTGATCCTAAAACTGTTGCACAATGTAGGGGATGTTACCTGAAAGATGGTAATTGGTATCTTAAAGATGATAGTGATTATTATCAAATCAAAGGCCAATTAGGTATATATGGATTTCAGTCCTGTGATTTGGTAATATACACCAGGAAAGGTATACATGTTATTAATGTACCTTTTCATGAACAATTCTTTGAGTCTATGATTAAAAAAATCAAAAATATATATGTAAAAATATTACTTCCTTCAATATTGCAGACTTTAAACAAGTAAAATAGGTGAAGATGTTAGTCAGCTTTGGCTGAAACTTCCTGGTTACTGTAAGAGATATTCCTTTTGAGTGACTTGGACATCTATTTAGCAAGAACATTATCCAAGTTGCACAGTGACGCTGCTACATTTACACACTGACAAAGAGAACCTTTGATTTTCAAAGGAATAACACTCTGTAATAGTTTATATTCCTTTAGTCTCCCAATAGCTCTCTCCACATGTATTCTAGCATTTGCTATTCTCCTAGTTTTAGTAACTGCTACTGAACTGAGTTGTCTCCCATGAGAAAATGGTGGTATGTTGAGAGTTGTCTTTCTAAAGGCTAATAGATCTCTAATTAAAAAACTTCTATCAGCCATGATGTCATCATGTTCAGAGAGTAAATCTCAGAAACCAGATTTTTGAACTATCTTCCTATCCGAAATGCTGCCTGACCATAACTTTGAAACAAAAGTAAATGAACCTTTTGGAGAGCAAGCAACTAAACACTTTAAAGTATTTCTATGTTTCTAAGATGACCATGTTACTCTCTGGCTGGAAGGAATACTCGGTTTTTGAAGTAGAAATTCTGTACAATCAATAACTGCTTTGGTATTTGGAAAATATTTAAAACATTTAGGAAGATTATGTTTCACCTGTCTTGTGGAAGGCCATTTGATAAGAAAACATAATTCTTTGCACATCAGATTGATCCATGTGTTGAAAATTCTACTAATGTGAGAGTTCGAAACACCAAACAAGTCAGACAACTGTTCCACATCATTAGCTCGTCGTAGGCGCATCACAGTGATGATAAATTCCTCATACAGAGAGAGAAGTCTTGAGGGGCCTCTGCTGGATTTTTGCTGCAATACAAAAGCAGGAAATTGTACACAACTAATTTTGAACATTTACAGTGCTGTACCATTTACATTCTGAACTGATATCAGAAACTATGCATGAAATAATGCATTGGTTGCCAGCCAAGATTCAGAGTTGTATTAATTGGAAACTTTTTTATTATCAGTAATATGTCTCAATGTTCTGACCATAATAAACTGAATATTTCTGAAAAGTTAACCAGCATCAAATGGTTTATATAATATGTAATGTCATTTGGTATGTACTAACTGACATGAGTATTAATGACAAAACACACCCCATCTTGCTTTGTCTCACTTTGACCAGTCCAGTAAGTCATCCTGGCAGCCTTGTCCTTGAACCAGTTGAACACCAGCATGAGCATGGCAACACTGAGCCCTGTTGTAAAAGTGTAAAACTGATCATCAATCATCATTGACAATGTGACATTGAATAATAACCACCACCATAAATGAAACATGAATCTGATATTTTTGGTTACAGTGCCCAACCCCAAAGGATTGATCAATGGAATACTTAGTTATTTTATATATGCTGGTATTTTGTATGTATATACCTGTAATAGTCAGGTCGTAAACGATCGAGGACTTTGTATTTTTATCACGCTTCCGAGATCGTGTTCATGTTTGCTAACTTCTCAAACATGATTACATCTTATTACATACATGTATTGTGTGTAAAAACAATGTATATTGTAGTTACAAGTTCATATTAATGTATTTTGTCGTAAGATTTAATGGTTATGATTCGCTCCAGATATATGCTCGAATTGTCCCGCGATCTCCAGGCGATTACGTCATCAAAACATGTGTTGTTGATTCAGAGATTGTTTATACATTAAATCTGCTGAAATATAAATGGATATTTGAAAAGTACTTACGCAGGCGTGTTCCTGGAGGTGGTAACTTGTAAACTATATCCGTTTAATTTAACGTCACGTCTTATTTGGATGTTAGATCGCATTCTTCTCGCTCTAACGTTCGGCGTCTTCTGCTACATGCATTACCGGAAGTACGATGACGTCATATAGCATACTCTCGTTCTAAAGCAGTTAGAGAGACAACAGACTCAACGTAAGTTGTAGTGTTTTTGGGCCGAGATTTATTTTAGGAAATTTTGCATTACTAGAGTTTTATATTTGAATTACTAATAACTACAGTGCTGCATTCTTGGCTCTGCCTTTGCACACAGAAGTTATTCTTGTGAAATTGGAAATTTGGAAGTTTATAGGAATAATAGATCTGCAGTACTCTGACCTGTCATAACGGACAAGTCGGTAAACTAGCAAAGTTTATTCACTCTTGCAGTTGCCTATCCTTGAATTGCTATTGTCATCTATAAAATAAATAACAACAACAGCGAGTAAAGATTCACTGACTTTATTTATTTGTTAGAAGTTTCTTTTAATCCGTTTTTACATATATCTTCAAAACTGACGGTTGGGATGGGACATAAAACATATCCTGACTACCACCCCCAACCCGTTACAATACCTTTCAACACAATAGCATGTAATATATGTACCAGTGTAAAACTTGCTGCTTTTGTTGTTTCTTGTGATGTTATCCATTGTTAATTTTTTGGTCAGCATCTTGGGGTTCTGCAGCACATCATCTGTGTATGAGCTGATGTCATCAAAACACAAGTTTGTTTGTGTGGAGGCATCAGCAGTAGATTTGATAGTGCTGTAGATGTGATCACCAAGAGCTGTCATTGGACCAGCAATGTCCATTCCCATCTGAACTTCACCTGTTGAATAATATTAACATACTTAGACCAAAAGAATATTATAACAGAATATATACACTCAGGTTAAATTATCTCATAAAGGGGCGATTCAATCAAAAACAAGTGGATGTGAGAATGAATTAATTATAAAACAACATACTAAAGTTATATTCTTTTGAACATACATACATTTGGTAGGTAAGACATCATCCTCTATCATTCTCTTTTTGCTTGGGGTGTCAGAGGCCACTGGGTCTGCCTGTCTTTGTCGAGGTGGTGGCCTAGGCTTCAAGGGCGTGGAAGTTATCGAGACAGGGTCTGGGAAATCCAAAGTTGGTCCACGGCCACCTGACAGGATATTTATAAATCAATTGTTGTTCACACAAGCACTAAAACGGCAATTTAAAACTATGCATGTGTACATTATTTTACACCATGTAACCACTTTTTTATCATTGCCCGAGAAATTAATAATTTGCATTGACGATATAGTTACTATTTTCAAATTCCACCTGATGGAAACATACATTGTAGCATATTCATACAAAACTCATCTACGAAGTGTTTGGAACAAATATATGTGTGCCTCGTGATGTTTTTGACGTCAAATCCCTCTCGACCACAGGCCCTCGTCCACCTCAAACATTTCTCCGGTTGACTCTTCAGCTTCGGAAAAGGAATAAAAAAAACGTTTTCCATCTCATGGCAATCCTTGTACCTGTTGTCAGACTTACACAATCCATAGCAACAGTGGTGGTAAGGCATATTCTGCTTTTCTCGGTGTACACGTCAGATAGCGGTCGTTGCACAGTCAATCACGTTACAAATTTTGACAGCCGTTTGTTTTGACAGTTTGCCCGCGGTCACGTGGTTTTGCAAAGGGACATCACTCTAAACGAACTTATTTCGCGAAACTGGAAAATGGCTTATTGGTCTCCAGTAACCCATGCTTGTCGTTAAAGGCTGACCCGGGAAGATCCGGGTTAGAATTGGTCTTCAGTAACCCATGCTTGTCGTTAAAGGCGGACCCATGAAGACCCGGGTTAGAATTGGTCTTCAGTAACCCATGCTTGTCGTTAAAGGCGGACCCGTGAAGATCCGGGTTAGAAGTGGTCTTCAGCAACCCATGCTTGTCGTAAAAGGAGACTAACGTGATCGGTGAATGGCATGATTACAAAAACAACATAACACCTTCTTGTCGTGAGCGACCGAAAGTATATGTGAATGTGAGTGAGTGAGTATAATTTACCATGGCCTTGAACATTAACGGCGTGAAGTAATGCAGGCCTAACTCGTTTACAATTACCCTGAAATCTTCGATTTTTGCTGATACACCCAGAAATACATTCGATAATAACCGGGATTCGAACCCTGGACTATTTCATTGTGGAGCCAAACGGACGGAGCCATGCATGGTAAACTACGACGCCTCAGACCGGGTACACGTGTCCTACATGGGAACGTACGGAGTAGCGAGAAGCAAATGGTGACTCAACGTCCTCACCGAGTCTGTGTCCTGTTCATTGTAATATTGGTTTGTTCCTTCTTAACTATCTCACTCAGAGTTAAATCAGTGTTGACGTCTGGACCACACAATCCTGTGATTAGCGTATTGAGCACCGATCTACGTAAATCGGGGGGCAATGCCATTCATCAACCAAGTCCGCGGGTCTGTCCACCAGTTTCGTCAGTAAGCCTCTTCTGACAAGCATGGTGCACAGTAAAACTAAGTATAACCGGATGTTCACGGGGTATGTGTCTAAGGAAGGACACTTCACTGGATGAAGGACATCAGGATGCCTTGAGGAAATATCCAGGTCTGGGCAACAGATCAGGAAATCTACTCAACCACAATACCTTTCTTCGCAGCCACCTGCAATGTGTTGGATATCCTGTGCGTTAATACTCCTTCCTTGTTTACATGTTGTGGCGAACACAGGCTGGGTTATGTCCGCTAACGGTATAGAAAGTTCAGTATAGTCAGTCCCTCTGATGAAAACACAGGCTGGGTAATGTCCATCTAGGAAGTTCAGAACAGGCAGCCCTTCCGATCAAACCCCAGACTTATAGTCTGTAGGGAGTGGTTAGCTACGGCAGGGGTGAGGGTGTGGGTGGTGATTCAGGGCTGCTGGAATTAAAGTTTGTGGGGGTGGAGCGGGATCGTCTAAGATGTCGAGACCTGAGGTCAATCCCCTTGGAACACAAACACCAGCGCACATACACATGCATACACACATGCATACAATCACTCAAGACTCAAACAATCCCATGTAGATCTAAATCAGTCACTCAAGGCTAACAACGCTCGCCCTAAACAAGCACTGATTACAATCACTCAAGACTCAAACAATCCGATGTAGATCTAAATCAATCACTCAAGATTAACAACGCTCCTTTTTTGGCCTGAACAAGCACTCAACACAATAACTTGCAGAAGCATTAATACACTAGCGTATACTTCCATAAGCATTAATACACTAAGCGTGGAGCTTACACAAGTATTAATACACTATCGTAGACTTACAAAAGTATTAATACACAAGCGTAGACTAACACAAGTATTAATACGCTAGCGTAGACTTACCCATGTATTAATACACTAGCGTAGACTTACACAAGTATTAATATACCAGTCTACACTTATACAAGTATTAATACACTACCGTAGACTTACTCATGTATTAACGTACTAGCGTAGACTTACACAGGAATTAATACACTAGCGCAGACTTACACA